CCCTGCCCGCCCCGCGCCGCCTGCTGCTGCCTGGGAGCCCCCACCCCCGGTCTCCCCGCCTGTCCTCGGTTCAGGGGGGAGGGAAGGATCAGCGGGGGGCTCGTTCTCGGGGCTGTCGCTGGAGCTGGGCAGGTGTATTGGAGCCCCCCACACCTGGGGGCTGGATAACCCCCCTCCCGTTGTGGAAACAGCGAGGGGCTGGGAGGCGGCGCAGACAGACATCACAGAAGACGCTCTGCCTTCAGGTGTCTTTATCTGACCCCTCATGCAGCGAGGGTTCAGGTTTTTCCCCTTTTCGGCCGTTTTCGAAGCAGTCTGCGGCCGTGCGCTTGTGTTTGGTCACCGCTGTAGCCTGCTTTCTGTGTCTGCGTCGGATGAAGAGTGTCACTTGTGTCTGCGCTCTTAGGAGAAGACGAGAGCTGTGTTAGGAGTCTTGTTAAGCGTCAGGGCTAAGCCCTCCTTGTTCGTGGAGTTGCGGGGGAGGGAGGGAGGGAGGGTTGGTCAGTTGCACCTACCCCAGCAAAGACTGATGGGTTCCTTGTGCAAGTTGTCTGACCTCTCTCTCTCTCTCTCTCTCTCTTTTTTTGTTTTAGTTATTTTTTTTATTTCCAGTCTCTCTTGTAAGGGTTTAAAAAACAATACAAAAATAAGTGGTTTTATTGCTGTCAGCTGAAGGTCAATGCCCTAAAGAACCGTATTCTGAAGTAGACTAGAAAATGGGTAGAGAGGTCACGGCAGTTTGGAGCGGAGCCAGGGTTAGACCCCAAACTTTCTGAGTATGAGATCGCTACATGTTTGGGGGGTGGGAGGGAGGGGATATCCTAGCAGGTGTTCTAGCTACTAGTGAGTACTCATCCTGGACATGTTTTGAACACTTTGAATGTTGAAAGGAAAATACTTCAAAACCCAAAATATTTAACCACGAAATGCTTCTTGTGTCATTTAAATACATAAAAGTATTGAGTTATGCAAGAGAGGTGTTTTTAGAGTTGTCTATGATTTAGACAAAAAGTCTCACAGATGACATTTTTAGTAAGTGTAAGATTTTTAAGAACTTCAAATAAAAAAAACAAAAAACCCTCCCCACCTTAATGATTTTTTTTCTTTTTAAAATCTAGGATGGATGCAACTTTAAAGGAGCTGACAAGTTTAGTGAAAGAAGTCTATCCAGAAGCACGGAAAAAGGGAACACATTTCAATTTTGCCATTGTTTTTACAGATCTCAAGAGACCTGGTTATAGGTAACTGACTGAAGTCTTATTTGCAGTAACAGTTTATGTTCCATGTTGTATGAGAGAAGTTCTTCATAGTAACAGAGTGCATGGCAATCGCTTGTTAATATTTGATTTTTTTTTCAGTTACTATTCCTGTTTCTCTTTTCTAAAACACTGAAAAGTGTTTGCCTAAAGATGTTGGTCACTACATTATCTGCCACCCAGAACACGCGCCTGTAGATAGGAGTGAAAACAAAAAGGCTATTTCTGGTGGTAAGGGTAGTAACTATCACCATCAAGAGTTTGCTCTTAGCACAAATTTATTTTTTTTAATTAAAACTGGATAGGGACAGTTTCTATATGAGCTCACCAGAAACCAGTTGAAAAAGCAGGGGCTTGGGTCCTGCTATATTTCTTGCATTTTCTTTACCAGTTCTCGTGTGTCTAACTTGCCAGATACTTCAAGCTCTGACAGGGGAAAAGTTGATGCAACTTATTTTATGTCTAGTGTTGTATCAGAGAAACAGCTAATACTGTATTGAGAAGGGAGGCAACATCTTTGTATCTCACTAACTGAGGAAAAACTTAACAGTTCATCCCTTTCAGATCCTGTTTAGTCTGCAAATCTCTCTGACATTAAAAAGAGACTGACTTGCTCTTTTGTTGTGTAATGAAATGACGTTTCATATCTTCCCTTCAGGGTGAAAGAAATTGGCAGTACGATGTCAGGAAGAAAGGGCACAGATGATTCCATGACGCTGCAGTCTCAGAAATTCCAGATAGGGGACTACTTGGATATAGCGATTACGCCTCCAAATCGGGCACCACCCCCATCAAGCCGCATGCGACCATATTGAAGTGTCATTTTTCTGTAGATGACTGTATCTTCCAGTGGGTTTCACATGCTGTAGGAAACAGGCCTTTTTTATTACTATTGCTAAGCAAGATCTGAAAACACTTCTAAGCCTTGACAACAAGAGTTAAATAATTAATTTTACTGCGTGAGTTTAAAAGAAACAGTATCTGAATCTGCTTTGTTATCTCTTCTTTCCTAGCTGTTATGGTATGAAAAGTGAATAGAAATGTTCAGTGTTTCAAGATCTATGTAAAATATGACAGAGCTTAGAAGTGCTCTTACCATTCTGTTAAAAGCCATGTAGAGTGGAATAACATTGTTATTGTTTTGAACATGTTTCTGAGTTTGAAGACTAGGTCAGGCCTGATTTAATGGTGGTTGAGCTTGATTAAAAACAAACCACTCAAAGGAGAGAGAGTGCTTTTTTTGACTGACGTGCTACCTAGCAGCATGTGAACAGTGGCATCAGTGGGAGAATCCTTGTGTATGATTACTTACTTTCCAGAAGTAAGTCTCCAAACAACATTTTGTTTGTTTTTTGGTTTTTTTTAAAAAAGTAATTATCTTTTCTTATCATCAAAACAAATACAACCCATAAAAGTCTAGTTTTACTAATGCATCTGCCCACTTTAAAGGAAAAACAAGTATTCTTTATTTTTAAAAAAGCTTTCAAATTTTAAACCTATGTTAGATGCACATCTAGCAGTCTCTTGGGTTATTGGCATAACTATTGATACAAGCAGTCAAAGATTCCTTTTTGTGCCAGGTACCAGAACTAAGCAAGGAACCAGTCCCTCCTTTTACTTCTAATGTTTCCATTATTTGAGCCTAGGCAAACAAATAAAAAAAAAAAAAAATGTAATGCCATATTTTTTGCCCTTTCTTGTGCTGCACTGGTGCGACTGTTTGTACAAGTGGGTTTTCTGGACACTTTAAAAGTGTTTCTGGCACATTAAAGTAAAACTCGGATGTAGTTTAGTTTAGTTTAGTTTGCTGTAAATTAAAGTGTTGCGTCTATGGATTTGTTGCATGCAAACACAGGCACTCAGACGTGTAATGAGCCTTTGTCTACCAGATGGCACTGCAACTTTTTTGTAGTTCGCCCCTTCAAATTACTTCCACTTTTTTTTCCTTGGGCCATTTGCTGGCTCAATGCTCCCACAGCTGTGTGGCAGGTCATGGGGTGGGGCCCCAGGCCAGGGGGCATAGCCCTGTATAGTCCCACTCTCCTGCGGTAACTAGTTTGAAAATCAAGTGTGTGCAAACACTGATGCAACTCTCCAAAATAAACAAGTTTAAATTTTATAAACTTATTTAATTTAATGAGGATTAAACCCTGTAGTATGTATAGGTACCCTGGGAGATCACTAGTCTAATCTCCAAATTTGTCATTTAAAGTAGCTGCATGTCATGCTTCAGTTTCACTTGCTGTGATATTGGAGTGCACTTAATGAGTAAGATGGGAATATTGCATATTTATGGATGTCAGTTGTCATCCTAGAGAGTTCTAGTCTACCTCCTACACAAAATTCCCAGGTAATATTAGGCAAGTCACTTAACTCAAGCTCTTCCCAAGTGACTTAGATGGAGTGTTCTCGGGGGAGGAGGAGTTCCTAGCAAGGGCAGATTTGTGCTGAATTTCTGTAAGCATCTGATGAATTGAGCTTCAGTCCACAAAACTTATGCTTCTTATCCTATTTAGTTAGTCTAAGGTGTATATCAACCCTGCTTCTGTCTGGGACATACCTTCTGCAAAATGACTGACAGTTGTCCTCAGGATCTCAAATTGGGCACCCAAATTTAATAGACTATTTTTTAATCAATTTCTGTGTTCTTTTTTCCTGTCTGTAAAATGGGGATTATACCACCTCCTCTCCCATGGTTCTTCAAACATTCAGTACCAGCATGAAAAGCCCAGAAAAGACTTAATTTTCTATCCACATAGTGTGTTAAAGCCTGACCTGTGTGGTGAATAGTGCTCATTCAATGAGCATTATCCATCCAGTCTATAACAGAATGAGGCTGGGGGTATGGCATAACAGTACATTTGTTAAACTCTTAATATGTAGTTGCATACAGACATACATTATAACACTAATGCTTGCAACTCACTCGTTTCTGAGGTCTTGACTTTGGCAAGCTTAATATTAATAATTTTAAAAATAAAATTCAGGTAATGTTTGCAGAGGACAAGTAGGAACAGATAGCAGAGTAGGGGTTGGGGTGGTGTGGGTGCTAAGGAGGTTTATAGATGCTAGGGTTGGAAGGGACCTCAATGGATCATTGAGTCTGACCCCCAAAGATTGCAGGTTTGAGGCCATAGCAGAAGTACTCATGACAAAGCCATGTCAGATTCTGAGGAATCTGAATTCTGCAAAATACCTTGTCACAAGGACACAGAAAGGAAGATGGCAGAGCTAGCAAACAATAGAGAGCTTATTTAGATGTAAAATGGGATGTTAAGAGAAGGAATATAGTCTGGATTGTAGATCTAGTTGATTTAATGACTTTATGATTGTCTTGCATGCTTTGAACAAGCAGCTTTTGGCTGTAGGCTTAGGAAGTGGTCAGTCTCTCTGAAGCATAGTTTTTCAACCTGTGGTGCGTGTACCCCTGGGGGTACATGACACAGGCAGGGAGTATGTGGGTACCCCAGGACTCTTTCACCCTCTTTTCCTCTCAAAACTGTGGCAAAAAATGTGGTGCAATTTAAAAAAATTAAATTTCCCAGTAATAATTTGGTGTTCAGCTTTGGCCAACATCACCTCTAGCTCAGGTACATACTTGAGTTGTGCACCCCTAGTGTAAAAGGTGGCAACCATACCCACACCAGATCAGACATCTGTCATTCACAGCCTGATCTACACAGCCCTTCCAACATATGGCACACAGTCTGTAAATATAAAATCCCCTGGAAAATTGAATGTTGGGGTACTTATTAAAATTTTCAGAAGTTAGGGGGTGCTTGCTACTTAAAAGGTTGAGAAACATTGCTCTGAAGGACTAAAATGACTAGCCTAATCCCAGACAAGCAGCGGTGGCTGTACGGGATGCTCCAGGCCACATCTTAAGAAATATTAACAAGAAAAGAGAAACAATCCACTACCTTCATTCCTTGGCTCTGAACAGCAGCAGAAAAGTGGTAATAAATACAAAAGAAATGTACTTGTGGATATACCAAAAAAGTTATTCATCTAGAAAGGTAGCTAGCTGTGTTACTCTGAAGTTAGGTAGAGCAGGGTAGCACTTTTATAGAGTTTTCTCTTATTGAAAAGATGGGTGGTGGCAGCATCTCATTTTTCAAAAAGAAAAGACAGAGGGAACCTTCCATTTTCAAAAGAGATGACACTCATCACTTAGAAAACATCAGCTAATTTTCAGTTGTTTTCTGAAATTTTTTTTCAATTGGTTTTCAGGGATTCGAGGAATTTTCCATGTCAATCTTACTGGTCCCTTGTACCTGTGAACAAAGTCATCTGAAGGCCTTTCTCTAGTTTGGTATAGAGTTATTAGAGTTAGATGCAACATCTGTTTCCCAAATCTGTTGATCAATATGTGCCTCTCCATGCTGAGTCGTTTACCAGTTTATCTTTTTCTCTCTTTCCTTCTTTCAGTTTGTTATTTCATCTTGCCCATCGTCACTGAGGAGGGGTGGATTTTCCTTTTGCCAGCAGTATTCCACAGTCTTAATAACTCGTTCATTCCTATTCTGGGAAAATTCCAAGGATTTTTCAGCTATATTACCATATACATTTACACAGTGCCATCATAAATGTATACGTGTGCATAAGTGTGTATGCAAGCACATGTAAACTGGGGTTCTGCGAGCCAGGAAACAATCTCTGGTTTCCTGTTATTTTAGGAAAACAGGTCTTCGCACATTCTTTGCGAATAACAAAGATTGGATCAGAGAAATACCTGACTCCATTAATTTCTCCTCATCACTGGAACAGTTCACAATACCCACACATTTTTAGCCATTCGGTTCCAAAAAGTTAATAGTACCATTGCAATAAGAGATTTTAATGAGAGAGTATTCAGACAAGTTCTTACTCTTGCTTCATAAAGAACTGAAAATTATTCCAGTAAAAGGTTTCAGAGCCTGTTATGTCAGAACAAATCAATGACGATAGCTCTGTTGTTAAAACAATAAAGTAATGGGATGGGTAAGACATAAATTGTTAAAAGCAGAAAGATACTAGTTTTACTGCTATTCCCCTGACTCAGCCAGTGTCTAGACATTACAGCATATAAACTGGGTTAAAAAAAATGCTGCAGTTTTTCTGACAGAATGTGACACTGGGCATGTCTACAGATGCTATTAATGCACTATAGCAGCGGTTCCCAAACTGACAGACTGAGTACCACCAGTTTAAAATGATACAACCTTAAGTACCACCAGCAAGTTTTTCATATACATAGGTAACAGACTATGTATTAAAACATCAAAATCTTTAGTAATTATAAGACATTGTTTTATCAGTTAGAGTAGCCATATATAGAACAATTGTAAATTGGAAAAAAGACAGTGTAAACCAGGGGTAGGCAACATTTTTGGCCAGAGAACCAAAAAACTGCAAGGTGTACCTCGTAAGTTGCCAGAGTGCCAGCACACCAGAATAACAAAACTGGTGTGTGGGGGGGGTACATGGCAGGACACACTGCATATTAATATAATTAATAATTATAAATGTTTCTTCTCTCTTTTTTTTTTTTTTTTACAGTAAATAGGTTTTCTACAAATTCTAAACCTGGTGACAATAAATACTTCATATACTACCTTTGTTCTTGTATTCTTTATTGTTAAGCATGTTGTGATGGGGGGGGGGGAAGAGAAGAGAGAGAGTGGAGAGAGAAGAGAAGAGACGAGAGAAGAGGAAGAGAAGAGCGAGAAAAGAGGTGGTGAGAGAAGAGAGAGGGAGAGAAAAGAGGAAGAGGGGCGTGGGGAGAGCAGGTGCAGGGGGAGGTACTGCGGGCAGGCTGGTCCAGCAGGGCCCTTGGGAAGGTGGCAGTCGGAGGACAGCCAGGGCTGGGCGGGGAGCAGGGGCTGCCCCAGGGCTATTCAGACGTGGGCCACAGCGGGGGTGCTCAGCAACATGGAGGTAGGGGCCGGCCCAGCCCAGCCCAGGCAGCTCTGTGGGGTTGGGGCACAGCCTCCCTGCCTACAGGGGAATGCTGGCTGGCCGGGGCAGGATGCCAGTCTTGGGGGCTCTGGGCTCAGCCTGTGCGCACCAGACACAGCACGAGCAGGGTGGAGCCACAGCAGGGTCTCCCTGGGCCCTGGGAATAGCTGCCACGGGCGGCTCTCAGAGCCAAGCCAGCCAGGAGCCTGCAGCGCAGCAGCCTTCTGCATTGCCTGCTCTGGACCAGCCCCTTGGGAGAAGCTGTGGGTGGGCAAGGCCAGGGCTCAGGCAGGCTGGGGCAGCTGCAGCAGCTGTTCCCAGGAGCTTCGGTGGCCAGGCCCTTGCAGTGGGGAAGGCTCTGCCCCACTCGCACTTTGCCTGGTGTGCAGGGAGGCCGAGCCTGGAGCCGAAAGCCCTCCTGAGCCTGGCACCTGCCTCAGCCAGCATCCCCTCGTGGAGCTGTGCATGCCGAGCCATTCCAGATCCTGGCCACCCTTACTGTGAAAAATTTCTTCCTAATATCTAACCTAAATCCACTCTCAACTAGTTTACACCCATTATTCCTAGTCACTGCCTTGGGTGCCCTAGTAAACAGCGCATCCTCTATTCCATTGACCTCCCCTAATAAATTTATAGGTGGCCACAAGATCTCCCCTCAGCCGTCTCTTGTGAGGGCTGAAGAGATTCAGCTCTCTCAACCTCCCCCCGTAGGATCTATCACGAAGGCCACTAATCATGCGAGTGGCCCTCCTCTGGACCCTCTCCAGATTCTCCACGTCCCTCTTGAAGTGTGGCGCCCAAAACTGGACACAGTACTCCAACTGTGGCCTGACCAGTGCCGCATAGAGGG